GCAAGGCTGGATGCCTTTCTTTTGCTTTTCTCTTCCAAAGGCTTCCTTATTCTTTTTTTAAAAAAACCAACAAATTAGAGTTGTAATTTGGGTTTTCTTCATGATTATGTTTACTTATTTATCTGTTTGTCCTTGAAAACCTTAACTGAGGCAGGTTATGAGAGCTCTCACGAGGTAACGTGCTTAGCATGCTGTGAATGCCAACAGAAAGGGCCCACTCTAGCAGCACCCCAGCATTTGCCAGCACCAGAGAGAGCAGGTTTCTGTCTAGGTTCTGGCAAACACTGCTTTGCTTTGGACTGGTTCCTTTCTTGCCCTTGAAAAACTTTAACAGGTGACCTCCTGCCCCACAGCATTTGTTTATTCAGTGAGCGCTGGTTCAGCCCTTACCATATGTCACACAGTCCACAGATCCCTGGGATGCAAGGATGACTAAACATGTCCTTGTCACCAACAGCTCACAATCTGATGAGCTCAGATTTGCTGAGAGGGTCCAAAATCCACTGGCCAAGAGCGGATGTGTCTGAGCCTGTGAAATGTTCTCCAGCCCTAGCCTGCATCACAGCCAAGGTGACAGAGGCACTCCTGAGTGGCACGCCAGAGGTGGATGCCCATGCTCATGGGCCTGCTGTGGAGTGTGAGAGGCTAACTACTGGTTAATCATGTGATGAATTGCCTGCCAATAGCCATGTTGTGAGTTCCCTCTAGTATGCATGAGTTGACTCAGTGTGAATTTTTAGCTGATTGTTTCAGTTTTTATTTCCAAAAAGTAAGCTGTTTTTCTTTTTTTTAATATTTATTTATTCATTCATTTATTTCGAGATGGAGTTTTGCTCTTGTTGCCCAGGCTGAAGTGCAATGGCGCAATCTCGGCTCACCGCAACTTCCGCCTCCCAGATTCAAGGGATTCTCCTGCCTCAGCCTCCCAAGTAGCTGAGATTACAGACATGCACCACCACGCCTGACTAATTTTGTATTTTTAGTAGAGACAGGGGTTTCTCTATGTTGGTCAGGCTGTTTTTGAACTCTCAGCCTCAGGTGATCCACCTGCCTCGGCCTCCCAAAGTGATGGGATTACAGGCATGAGCCACTGTACCCGGTCTCTTATTTTCATTTTTAAACCTAATTTCCAGAACCTTTGTGTAGGGAAAGTCATTCAACAAATCCATGGGAAGCATGTCCATTGGGATGGTAGCTGAGCTGTGTCATTTCCAGTGCCTAAGCCGGCAGATTGTTGTAGGTGTGTTCTTTTTACTCCATATACGTGCATAGTCCCTTGCAGATGAAAACCTTCTGGGTTTGCTTGGCCTTAGGTTCCGCTCCTGGTTTCCCTGTGCCAACAGGTGAGGCAGCCTTTAACAGCTGGTGATCAAATGGCAACATCTGGGCCAAGAGGGCTTTTGGGAGCTTTCTCAAAAGGACCAAGCCACCGCCAATCAAAATCCCCTCTTATACTGATAAAAGTTCTTTTTTTTTTTTTTTTTTTTGTCTGAGGCAGTCTCACTCTGTTGCCTAGGCTAGAGTGCAGTAGCACAATCTCAGCTCACTGCAACCTCTGCCTCCTGGGTTCAAGTGATTCTCTTGCCTTAGCCTTCCAAGTAGCTGGGCCTACAGGTGCGTGCCACCACTCCCAGCTAATTTTTGTACTTTTTGTAGAGACAGGGTTTTGCCATGTCGGACAGGCTGGTCTCGAACTCCTGACCTCAGGTGATCCACCCACCTTAGCCTCCCAAAGTGCTGGGATTACAGGTGTGAGCTACTGCACCCTGCCAGTAAAAGTTCTTAAATAAAAAGCACTTTCTATGTAGAACAATGATTGGGTGGCAGGGTCACCCTCTGTGTATCTCTGTACTTTCTCAGTGGGAAGAAAGAGAGTTGGCCAACACGGGCGATCATGGGACAGCAGTATTCATGGGAACTGACGGCTAGGATGCAATGGGCCCCTGAGGTAGCCCCTTGGCTGCCTGGGCTCCTGGGAGACAGATGGAATTTCCCAGTGGGCAAAGATTACGTCGAAGAAATCCCTGTTCAGAGAAAAGACTTTGAAGAAAGCATCTGACTTTGTGAAGAAGTTGGTTGCCTTGGCCAACTGCTGACCTCATTCAGCCCTTCAGTGCCCTCTGCTCTAGAGTGATGGGGCTAAAGCCATGCCTCCTTACAGGGAGTTCCTGCCAAACTGGGCAGCAGCTGGCTGGGAAAGGCATAAGACCATGTGAACACAGATGCTAAGGCTATTTAAACAAGAACATAGTTCTAGCATTTTGCTTTTAGAAAGGATAGTAACTAGAAATTGCTAGTTAGGAGGCTAAAGAGATTTCTTTTTACGAGGTTAGGATAGAATGGGGCTAGGAAGTCTTAAGCTGTCTGTGGGTACCTTACAGGATTTTATTTTTGCAAAAATGGGCCCCTGGTTTACGCTTAGGCATTTTCAACTATGTAATAGGCTAAGTGGACTTTGGGCAGAGCATGCTGGCCTTCTCTCTGGGGGACCCTCAGCCTACCCCAGAATCAAGAAACAAAATCTCATAAGGCTTCTTGGCCACCACAGTATGCAGGTTGTCCTCCGTGTATGGGGATCTATATTCCCAGCCACACAGAGCAGCTGGATGCGTGCATTTGGCCAGAGTGCCATTCAAGCTTACCACCACCGTGATTTCCTTGCTACTACAAAGGAGGGGTAGTCTATCCTCTCTTCCCCATATTCTCAGAGACTGTCCCTGGGTCATGCCAGAGCAGCTGATGCTGGCTCCCAGGATGAGGATAATGGCTCTGGAGGATGGTTGCTACTGCATGGCGGGTGCCATCATCTCTCCCTGAGAAGTGCTGTCACAGCCAATCTCTAGTGTTTGATGATTGACCCACTGTGAGCAAGATGTTAACCGTTCCTCTGTAAGTGTTCCTTCCCTGTGAGCACTCCCAGGGGAAGGTGCTGGCGGATCCTAGCTTTAGGAGTGGTGGTGGGCTGGGTCTATTTCATGGACATACTATAAATCCTAAAACCACCCATTTGAGTGGTCACCTGAAAACCTGAGTCAGGGCTGTAGTCTCTCACCCTGCTCTGATCTTCCACCCGTGTATTTTTCCACCTTCTTCTTGCTCTACTTGGTCGTCCTCCCAGTGGGAATCAGATATATACTGATGCTTCCCATCTGGCTTTGACAGTGGTTTCCAGGAATCCTTACAGGGTTCTAATTGTGTGTGGGAAGAGAGCATGGGCCTGGGCCTGCCGGGAGAGGTTGTTACCAGAGGGGAAAAGATAAGCTGCGTTTCAGGAGTGTTTTCTTTGAAATGAAGGTGAACTCAAAGTGTGTGTTTGAAATGCATATCAACAAAGCTATGCTTTAGTTGGTAGTATTTAAACTGATCATAAGAGCTTCAGAAGAATCCCTCAAAAATTAATCTGGAGAAGAAAAGTATAAATGATGCAGTTATACCTGTCCTGAGCTGTGTTCTTGTAGCTCTCGTGGCATGTGGGAGAGCATGAGCAAAGGCTCCCACGTGCTGTGTGGGCCCTGCAGACAGTGCCATGAGAGCAGTTGGAGAAGGCCTTAGAGACACCGCAACCAATGGAGCATGTGTCTGGGGTATGGACAGTACGTGTGTTCTTTGGAAAACTACTTTTTAGTAGAAGCAGTATCCAGATTGTGTTCTTTGTACTATATATTGAGCAAACGCTAAAATATGATGGACTTGACTGAGACCATCCTGGTTAAGATGGTGAAACCCCGTCTCTACTAAAAATACCAAAAAAAAAATTAGCTGGGCATGGTGGCGCATGCCTGTAATCCCAGCTACTCAGGAGGCTGAGGCAGGAGAATTGCCTGAACCCAGGAGGCGGAGGTTGCAGTGAGCCGAGATCGCGCCATTGCACTCCAGCCTGGGTAACGAGAACAAAACTCCATCTCAAAAAAAAAAAAAATATATATATATATATATATATGATGGACTTGTCATATACAGCTGAGGTTTATGAAATGAATTATGTCATCTGAATGACTGTGAAACTTACAAATGATGTTTGCTGTGTAATCTTTCAGGAAATAAAAAAATTCATTAAGGGCGTCTCTGAGAAGATCAAGAAAACCAGAGATAAATATGGCATTAATGATAACGGCACAACAGAGGTAATATCCCTCCAAGACACGTTAGAACCCCAAGCTGTTTGCAGGCGCCTCCGGCCCTTAACTCTGTGCTTGGCTTGTGTCCTTCCAGCCCCGGGTGCTGTACCAGCTGGACCGCATCACCCCCACCCAAGTAGAAAAGTTTCTGGAGACCTGCAGGGACAAGTACATGAGGTAGCCATGCCGTTGTCTTGGACTGACGGTCATCCACATAGGTCTCACGTATCCCTCCTGTTTCCCCGTGGGTACAAAACCCTGCACCAGTGTACTTGTTAACTGCCGGTATTTGTTCAGATTCTGTCACATCTTCTCTAGGGGGTCTGATGAATTGCTAGGCTGAGTGCTCCAAGATATGGAAATAACTGCAAGGAAATTTCTTAATGTCTTCTCCCCATGGGGAAACTGCTGATGAATATGGCAGATGCCAGCTGCTCTGTTCGCCATCAGTACCATTGGTTAGCAGACCACTTAGATCTTCTGCACCGTAGCCACGCAGAATTGAGTTGCAGTGCTGCCCCCTCTGTGACCATTACTTTCCCCTGTCTGCACCTATTTCTGGTCTATACCAGGCTCTTCCTCTGTCACAAGCATACCCTGGCCTATTGCCAATTCCTTCCTGACCCTAATAGCATCTATATTCTCTGTTGAAAGTGATAACCAGAAGCCTCTCCCCAGCAGTTTTGCTGGACTTTTCTTTGTCATCCTGTATTCTTATCCATACCTTTGCCTTCTAGGGCACAGATGGAGCCAGGTTCTGCAGTGGGCGCACTGTGTGCCCAGAGCATTGGTGAGCCAGGCACCCAGATGACCCTGAAGACTTTCCACTTTGCAGGCGTGGCCTCCATGAACATCACCCTGGGCGTGCCTCGGATTAAGGAGATCATCAATGCTTCCAAGGCCATCAGGTGCCTGCTTCCATTTCCCTCCTGTTCCACACATGCCTGTCCTGTTTCTTGAGAAGCAGTGATCCTCGTGTCACATGCGTATGTGTGATATTCTCATTCTCATAGGACAGTGTCTCAGACTCTGCTTGCTGTGTTAGTCATATTCTGGTTTTTAAAAAAGCCACTCAAGAAAAAGTCTAAACTGGATACATTCAAAATAGAATCAATGGTTTTTTATGGCCACAAGTAACATGAAAGAGAGAAAATGTTAAAAACGACCAGAAAAATTGGAACAATGTGTCAGTGGAGACTATATCCTTTTGATGTCATTATTCCAGCCTAACTAGGCCTGACTGAAGTGTCTCCCACGGGGCTTGTGGTCATATTCCGTGATTCCTGGTGATTTCATTCTGGGATTTCTAGCTGATCTAAGGCTAGAAGAAATAGAATTGTATTACAATGCCTTTGATGACAGAAATCATGATGACCTAATTTTTTTAAATGACAATACATAGCATTGAATGAAAGATAGCCATACTTGGTTGTAGAACCACAATCGTAGATATCCAGGGTGTTAGGAGTTCTGCTGGCCCCTTCTGGGCTGGTCAATTTAGTCCCAAGAATGTGTATTCTGGGGATCCAGTCCAGAATGGTGAGGACAGAAGCCGATGGCTCTGTGATCACAGGAGTTGGAGGTGTTCCTGTAGAAGCAGTGTTGGGAGAGAAGAGGGATGAAGGAAATTGTAGTAAACAAAAGGTCACTTTATAGGCCACGCATCATGGTTCATGCCTGTAATCCCAGCCCTTGGACAGGCCAAGGCTGGAGTATCACTTTAGCCCAGGAGTTCGAGACCAGCCCAGGCAACGTTGGAGGACCCCAAGTCTACAGAAAATGTAAACATTAAATTAGCCAGGCATGGTGGTGCACACCTGTGGTTCCAGCTATTTGGGAGGCTGAGGCAGGAGGATCAATTGAGCCCAGGTGGTAAAGGCTGCAGTGAGCTGTGATCCTGCCGCTGCACTCCAGCCTGAAACAGAGTGAGATCCCTTTCAAAAAAAAAGTCTGGGTGGTCAGTTTACACAGGGAACAGAACTAAAATAACTGCTGGTTATGATTGTTAGGACCAAAGAAAAACAGGTAGGATTCACTTTCTTTTTTCTTTTTTTAAGACAGAGTCTCTGTTGCCCAGACTGGGGTGCAGTAGTGTAATCTCAGCTCACTGCAACCTCTACCTCCTGGGTTCAAGCGATTCTCCTATCTCAGCCTCCTGAGTAGCTGGGACTACAGGCGCGCACCACTACACCTGGCTAATGTTTGCGTTTTACAGATGAGTTTCGCCACGTTGGCCAGGCTGGTCTCAAACTCTTGGCCTCGGGTGATCTGCCTGCCTTGGCCTCCAAAGTGCTGGGATTACAGGTGTGAGCCACCGCGCTCGCCCAGGGTTCACTTTCTAAGGAAGAATTTTCTGAAAATCTTTTCTTTCACTTATGGAGTAGATTGCCTGGGGACCATTACAAATAGTAAGTGTAAATGAGAATGTACATGGACCCTTAGCATACCTGAGAGTAAATGCCCAGTAAACTGCGGTCGCTAGTAACATTATGATTCTAAATAGCACTTGGGTTTAATGAAGCAGTGGTCTTCAGACGGGTTTCTCCCTTGTGGTAGCATCATTTTTCCTTTGCTTCTCAACAGCACTCCAATTATCACAGCACAGCTAGACAAGGATGACGACGCGGATTATGCTCGCCTGGTGAAAGGAAGAATTGAAAAAACCCTCTTGGGAGAGGTAAGAAGAAATCCCTATTGATAACAAGAAAACTAGCTCAGCAATGTTGCAAGGAAGTGTAAAAATCCATTGCAATGGATTAACCAGTCTGTGGCGTCCGTGCTACTCCAGCTCTCCAAAAAAAAGCAAGCAAGCAGTCGCATGCTCTTAGGAAAGGGGAAAGTGGCTGATGAACACTTTGATCTTTTAACACTCCAGATTTCCGAGTATATTGAAGAAGTGTTTCTTCCTGATGACTGCTTTATTCTCGTCAAGCTCTCCCTGGAACGGATTAGACTTCTGAGACTGGAAGTGAGTCACATAATTAAATGTAGAGAGGAAGTCATCCTGTTAGTCCCAAGATAGGTACCGATAAACTAGGGCAAGAGCTAAGCAAGACAGAGGAAGCATTGCAGAAGCTTCTGTTTGGTTTCTGGTTTTTGTGATTCTGTTGTCGCCTCACATTTTCTTGTTCTAAACCTGACTTTGATACAAATATAGCCATCTAAAGACACACAGGAAATCAGTTGAAATTTTGTGCAGACCACAATACCAGTTCACTGTGACATGGTATTATGATAAGTGATCTTGTCGCTCCTCTTCCCAGTGTCTGGAAGGAGCCTAGGGCTGGCTGTGTCTTACTTACCTGTGGGTCCTCAGTGCCCACCATGGCAGCTAGCCTAAGAGGTTCAGTAAATGTTTTTAGATGGGGAGATTAACCTGGCTTCTTAAACTGGCATTCGTGGGAAATAGGTAACAGTTGAAAGATGATCAGCCTTTCTCACAAACAGACTGACATGGGGTGCAAAATGAGTGACTTCCTGACCCTGTCTCCGTAGCCCTTAAAACACAGTCTGTCAGCCCGTTCTCTCATGCACCAAGTTCATATGTTACACTTGACTCTGAAATGCAGCAATCCACTCTCCAGTCTGGGGATTTCTCTAGCCTCCTCCTTGCTGCCTGCCTGTGGCTGTTTAGCAGAAAACCTGAGTTGTATCCAGGACTGTCGCACATGAACCATGGTGGAAATGTCAGGTGAAGGGGAGGCCCCACAGAAGTATTTAAATCAGCCTGGCTTCCGACCTCCAGCCTCCCTAGAGCTTCCCACAGAGGCTGCTGCGTGTGTTACCATGAACTGAGCATGAATTTTCCAGGGCAGATATTTTGTTGTGGGTGAACAAAATCTCTTTATGAATAAAGCACAGATAATATACACATACAGTACTTAAAACAGATAGGCAGTATATCTATGGCATTAATTTCATGATGGGGGGCGGCTTAGAACAAACCTGACTAAAGGACTTCTTAGAGGGGCAATAATGAAAGAAACATGAAAAACACTGGACTCAAAGCCTCCAAACCTCTGTCAGTAACACCTACGCCTGGCCATGTTGCAGGTGAACGCTGAGACAGTGCGCTATTCCATCTGCACTTCCAAGCTCCGTGTGAAGCCCGGTGACGTGGCTGTTCACGGTGAGGCTGTGGTTTGTGTCACCCCCAGAGAGAACAGCAAGAGCTCCATGTACTACGTGCTGCAGTTCCTGAAAGAGGATCTCCCCAAGGTAAAACAGAAGTTGCTTCTCCTGGAGACCCAGCATCTTCCTGTGGTGTGACACCCAGGGCTGGGACCTAAGGGCTTTGTCACTTAGTCCCACTTCTTCATTTCTTCTTCACCCTATCCCCAAGGAGCCAGTCTGTTAGATTCCTCACTGCTCTGTCAAAAAACTGATGTTAGGATGAGGTGCAGTCCCCTGAACTTCTTCTGTTCTCCCATACCCTAAAACTAGCTGTAGTGTGTCTCAGATGACCACTGCTGACAGCTGGGGTGATCAAGGTGACCAGCCTAGGGCATGGCTCACACCATCCTCACAGCCATCTCTGCCTCTGAATCCAGGTGGTGGTGCAGGGCATTCCAGAGGTGTCCAGAGCTGTCATCCACATTGATGAGCAGAGTGGAAAGGAGAAGTACAAGCTTCTGGTGGAAGGTGATAACCTGCGGGCGGTCATGGCCACGCACGGTGTGAAGGGCACCCGAACCACCTCCAATAACACCTATGAGGTACCGCTCAGCCCTTGGGGTTGCCTTAGGGTTAGGCTGTCTGCCTTGTGCCATCTGCAGGCCTTCCACTGGTTCCCACCATACTTCTCTGACCATCCCATTTACCCTGGGTCTACAACTAAACACTGTCCAGCAATCCATTTCTGGAAAATGGCACAGGGTTTACTTGGAACCTGCAGGGCAGAGTAGAAAGTGGAGAGAATTTGCAGTGGCTGCTTCCGTTCATTCCTGGCTCTCTGTAGGTGGAGAAAACTCTGGGCATCGAGGCCGCCCGGACAACGATCATCAATGAAATCCAATACACCATGGTGAACCACGGCATGAGTATCGACAGGAGACACGTGATGCTGCTCTCTGACCTCATGACCTACAAGGTGTGTGGGCAGGAGGCCCTTGGGTGCCTGGGTGTCCTGAAACTCACTCTTAGGAGAATAAACCTATGGAGTTTCTAAGATATGTAGAATATGCTGCTGTGAGGATCATCACAGCAGTTTCACCATTAAGATGTGAACATTGCTCAAAAACCAAAGTATGCTGCCCAGGCTGGGTGTCCTGGTCAGATCCCCGTATGAGAATTACAGCCTCATGACAAACTCACACCAGTCGGTGGAGTGAAGAGAGCTGGAACTTGGTTCCATTTTCATCCTGAATGTCATCCTAAAGCAAATTTAGCCATTGCCAAAGCCCAGAGAGTCCCGTGGCAAGTCGAGGTGTTTCTTTCTTATTAAACCCATCCATCACTCTTCTGTAGCCATTCCCAGGAAAGAAGAAGTTAGCATGACCTGAAGTTGATTGGTTGTTTTGATTTGATTTCTCTCTCTCATTTCCAAAAAAAAAACATTTCCCTCTAGCTGTGCCTTAGGGCAGCATGTTTTCATAAGCCTTCCCTAGACAAGTCAATAGTGTATTACAGGATATTTGGAAACCAGGTGAGGGAAATGGCCCATTTCCTACCACTCTGAGGCTGTGAGTTTGAAGTCTTCCTTGAAGTCCTGCATCTATTCTGGCCTGAGGTGGTGCGGGGGGGACTTCGTTGAAGTCCATGTGCATCTGTTACTTTAGTTGCAGCAAACAGTGTGCATGCAGTTTTGGTTCTGACTTTTGTTTAACATCACGAGTATTTTCCATCTTGTTTCATGGTTTTAATAAATATACTTTTTAAACTATGGCACAATATTCCTTTGAATAGAATTACCTAAATTTAATGAATTCTCTTCATACTTGAGATTTTTTAATTCCTTTCATTTTCAGTTATTTGAGCCATAAGAACCCTCTTCAGAAGCACTCCCCTTTTTCAAAGTTAGTTTCTGGATTCTGGTTCTCAGTTGTTTATTCTTTGTTCTGATGGGATCTGGATGTGAGTGTAAGGTTCCATGTTGCCAGTGACTGACCACCTCAGTGGGACACAGAGGGCGGACATAGCTCCTCCGAGCCTTTCACACCGAAGGTTGGGCTGAGGTTGGGATTCTGTTGGCGGATTTTTGTTGATTTTATTGAAGATGCATCGTGCTTTGGTTTTGTGCTTTTGCCAGTGGTGTGAGTACCACCATGACTCTTTTTCCCTTGATGCAGGGTGAAGTCCTGGGTATCACTAGGTTTGGCCTGGCCAAGATGAAGGAGAGTGTGCTGATGCTGGCCTCCTTTGAGAAGACAGCTGACCATCTCTTTGACGCTGCCTACTTCGGGCAGAAGGACTCTGTGTGTGGTAGGTTTGATGTTTCTGTGAGCAGCATCAAAGGCCTTTACTAGTTACAACTTAGACCGTGGCTGGGCTTCTAAGGGAATGAACAAAACTGAGTGGCAGAGCATTTATTTTTTCAAGAATAATGTCACAGATCATGGAATTGGAACTGCTGGATCTTTTATCTCCAAAGCCTGACTATAGCATCCTGCATCCCATTAAATCTGTTGGAAGGCTTCCCTCTGTCAGCACAGATGGTTTTTGGTCCAGGAAGAAAAGAGCAACCCTGGGCATGTAAGAATTTTTCTAGCCCTTGACTTTGTAGTCAGCCACACTGATCCTGACCCCTCTATGTGACACCAGGGCTGACAGAAGGGGGTAGTGGCTGGGTGGCATTGAGCAGAGCAGAGCGTCTTGCTGTCCTGGATTCCTTGGGAGGTGGCCATTGATGCCTGCTGAGCCCCCATGCCAGGCACTCTATGTGCTAAGTAGCTCAACCCACCAGTAAGTGCGGATATTAAGCCCTTTCACAAGTCAGAAGACGGTGACCTCACTTGCTGTTAAGACCAGCAGAGCCTGGCCAGGCGCGGTGGCTCAAGCCTGTAATCCCAGCACTTTGCGAGGCCAAGGCGGGTGGATCACGAGATCAAGATATCGAGACCATCCTGGTCAACATGGTGAAACCCCGTATCTACTAAAGATACAAAAAATTAGCTGAGCATGGTGGCACGTGCCTGTAATCCCAGCTACTCAGGAGGTTGAGGCAGGAGAATTGCCTGAACCCAGGAGGCGGATGTCGCGGTGAGCCGAGATCGCGCCATTGCATTCCAGCCTGGGTACCAAGAGAGAAACTCTGTCTCAAAAAAAAAAAAAAAAGACCAGCAGAGCCTTGCTCTATGCCATGCCTCATCCCACCCCCCCACCACCACTCCCAACCCACAAAGTATGGCTCTGATGGGGCAGTGCTGGCCTGGGTGAGAGGGAGCATGAGGGGAATTCTCCCCAGTGTCTGGCTTCCCTGCCTCTTCCGTGAGACCAGCACTGGCTGCTGGGCTTTGTTCAAGTATTTCTGATTCCACAGCAAGACCCTGCAAGCCTGGGGTGGGAGCTGGTGAGGGGCTGGGGTTCACGAGGGTCAGCACCCTGCCCCGGGGCACACACCAGTCAAGTCCAAACAGGGATTCCAAG